TAACACCCCAAAAAACTTTAATTTTGATTTCATGGGGACTTTAAAATACATTTTTTCCCCAAACTGAAATTGTTTTTACTTTCATTACTTCAGTAAATCTATTGTTCCCTTATTTAAAATTAAAGAATATTTAGTGTTAATTAGAGAACCCTTTGTTGGGCTGTTGTTATCCCAACTGCTGCGGGGCTTGTAGTGAAATTTTAATCTTAGTGTTATTTTATGAAAAATATTTTCTCTCATCAGAGCTGAGGATCTCTGTCAGCTATTTATATCGGTATTTCTCTATCGAGACCCAAAGCGCTCAGCGGTAAGTGTCTCTAGCTGAACGATTCTCTGTCTAGTTTGCGTCAAATGCACTTTTAAACTGGAAAAATGAAGTACAAGAATCGTAGGATGTCTAGTTTCATTTGCATTACAGTTGTGATTTTGTGGTCTCTCCTACAGCTTTTGGCAACAGCAGTCTTAACCTTGTTCACTCGCCATGGTATATCTGTGAATGTCAGTATGGAAAGGCTTACAGCCTTTTTGGGGAATATTTTGACAGACACAGCAGAGGTACAGTTTCATTATTTATACTGTGAATAAGGGTTAACTCTGTTTGGAGTAATTAATGTCACTGATGTGATGAAATCCAGTGTAGTCATTCCCTACTCTCTTTCTCTCTCTTTCTTTTCCTCTCCCCCTCCCACCATCTGTCTGCTCTCTCTCCCGTTCGTATAGGAACATAACCCTTTACCTACAGGTTGGGGCATGTGTGATGGCCTTCTGTCACTGATTCTCCACAGACTATCTGAGGTAATTCCTCTCAGATTAATTCTCCTAAAATCTGTGCTTTGTTGTTTAGAGAGACAGATAATCAGTTTGTCCGATTAATTGGTTTTCGATTGTTTCATATTAAATATACAAAAAACTACACCAGTTGAAGCCTCAACTGAATAGCATCCAACAATGGTATTTACTGATAAAGGAAAAAAATGTTACTTTACTTTTTTTAACAGCTGTCCATTCTTCTGTTGGAAAATGTTGAGTTTAACAATGAGTCTTATATACTTAGATTATATAATATGCAAATATATTACAAAATGTGATTATTATTGATCAAATATAAATATTGTTATAATATAATTATCATTTAATTGTTATTAGTTA